CCCAGATGAGTTGCTAGGAAAACATGTTAGACCTTGATTAAATTAAAAAATAATAGGTGATTACTAAGAAATGTGAAATGCAATTAGACAATGTTAGGACTTTATGTGGAGTCATAAAATAATATTTTGAACACATAAAGAGGCTGAGCTGGTCTGTTGGGTATTGTCAGAGAGGCAGATGGCTGGGAAAGATGGTTCTTATTCACCAATGCCATGGTAAATGGAGTTTGCACACAGTAGAAAATTAGTCTGTCCAGGGGTTAGATGATCTCAACACTGGTAGAAACACCATGACTGCCCTGGTGTTTTGCCAGAATGTCCCTTCCCAAAAGGCATAGGCCATGCGGCAGCCTGAATCCTAGGTCTGCAGCTGAGTGACGTGAGCTGCCTCTGATCCACTGCTTTGGATAACTGAGACTGCAATGGCTAGCAGGAGCTCGTGCATCACACGTTTGTAAATAAGCCACTCACCCGTTGATACAGAGCACCAAACATTCTGTCGGTCCTGTCATATCACGATGCACTTCCCCATCTTTATTCAGATACTCCTCGTCATCACAAAACTGAAATATAACGAAATGGTCTCATCTGCAAGAACGCAAGCTTCACAGCTGGGCTGTAAACGTAGCCCGAGGCAGACTCAGAGCCGCTGATGATACTTTGCTGGCAAGATGATTGTATAGACATGATCTTCCCGCACAAAGGAGCAGCTTCCTGGGAGCAGACAGGTACCGTCTCCTGCTGTGCTCCACCGCGGGGCTGCGGTGTGTTCCTGGGGGCAGACTAATACAGCAGAAGTGTGAGCTCTATCCCAGTTCATCTGGATACAGTCTCAGTCTGTGCAATCTCAGATCCTTCAGTAAGCTGAGCTGAACACCACAACATCCTGACCTAAGCAAACCTAGGGCTTCGCCCACAATTGGTGCGAACCCTTGAACTGGCTCCCTCCTACTTCTGTCTTTGCTCTGACCACTGTAGGTCTCAACTCTGTAGGTATTTTCTAAAAGAAATTTACTCATTCCCAGTTGTAATTTTTTTTTTCTTGTTGAAAATGTTAGCAATGATATTTGAAACAAAATAAATAATTCTAGCCAGGGCAACAATGACTTGGAACCAATAACATCTCAAGATTTCTTTACAGGAAAGGGCTGGGCCCAAAGAAATTGAAGTTCTGTGTACATATCACTTTAAATAAGATGGACAGTTCATTCTTGTTCTTATCAAAAAATTGGGGATCCCTAATGGAGAGGATGGGAAAGGCCAGCTCCCACCCAGTTCCCTGGAAGCACCACGGTCTGGAGCCTTCAGAGGCTGGTAGAACGTCGATGCTTGGCTGCTGCTCTAAGTAGATGGGATAGGGCAAGAGTACCCGTGCCCCAGATCTCCATGCTGTGGTGCACCAGAAGGCGCCCGCACGTGCAGTTGCTGCTGTTGCTGGGCGCTGCCGAGTCGGCTCCGACTCATGGTGACCCTGTGCACACCAGATGGAAACTCCGCGTGCTCCCGTGCCATCCCGACAGCCCCGGCTATGGTTGAGCCTGTGCTTGCACGCCTGTGTCAGTCCCTCTGGTTGAGGGTTACCAAGCTTGATGTCCTTCTCCAGGGAATGATCCCTTCTGACAACACGACCAAAGTGGGTGAGATGAAGTCTGGCCCTTCTCGCTTCCAAGGAGCATTCCTGCTGCACTTCCTCCAGGACAGATTTGTTCATTCTCTGGCGGTCCATGGTGCTTTCAGCATTCTTTGCCAGCACCCCAATCAGAGGCACCAATTCTTTAGTCTTCCTTATTCATTGTCCAGTTTTTACATGCATAGGAAGCAATTGAAGATACCATGGCTTGGTTAGGTGCACCTTAGTCTTCAAAGTGACATCTTTACTCTTCAACACAGATTTGCCCAGTGTAATACATGTCTGATTTCTTGACTGCTGCTTCCGTGGGTGTTGATTGTGGATCCAAGTGATGCTGCTTATTGGTCCAGTTGTGATGATTTTTGTCTTCTTTATGTTGAAGTGTAATCCACACTGAAGACTGTAGTCTTTAATCTTCATCAGTAAGTGCTTCAAGTCATCTTCACTTTCAGCAAGCAAGGTTGTATTGTCTGCATATTGCAGGTTGTTATGAATCTTCCCCCAATCCTAATGCCATATTCTTCTTCATATAGTCCAGCTCCTCAGATTATTTGCTCAGCAAATAATTGTTCAGATTGAATATTTATTCACATTGAATAAGTATGGTGAAAGGATACAACCCTGACGTGCACCCTTCCTAATTTTAAACCATGAGGTATCCCCTTGTTCTGTTCAAAAGACAGCCTCTTGGTCTAAGTACAGGTTACTTAATAGCATAATCAAGTGTTCTGGAATTCCCATTCTTTGCAATGTTAGCCATAATTTGTTATGATCCACACAGTCTAATGCCTTTGCATTGTCACATGTACATACACACACACACAGACACACACACACATATACTAATGGTTAAAAAAAAAAAAAACTCACTGCTGTTGAGTAGGATCTGACTCATAGCAACTCCTCTTTGGGTTTCTGAGGCAGTATCACTAAGGAAATTGATTGCCCAAACTTCCTTCTGAGGAGTGGCTGGTGGTTTGAACTGCCAGCCTTCTGGTTAGCAGTATCCACTGGAATGAAGACTCCAGGCTATACAGTGGGAATTTGTCTCTGATGAGAGCCACAAGACAGTGTTCCAGACAGTTGGTTTTAAACTTTATGTATCAGAATCACTTGAGGAGCGTTTCAAATGCAGCAGTGTTGATGGAGATGTGCAGGCTTGGAGCTCTCATGCGTTGCTGGTGAGAACATAAAATTGTCAGGCCACTTTGGTTTTGGTTTTTAACTTTTTATTGTGGTTTGGGTAAAAGTTTACAAAGCAAATTAGTTTTCCATTTGCCAATTGATGCACATTTTGTTTTGTGACATTATGCAAAAAGGACAAGGAGGCCACATATTCTGACCTCCTAGAACCCCACAAGAGGAAGGCAGAATCACTATCAATAGCCCAAGGCCTATTACTGCAAGGCCAGACATGCTGCCTCCCTCCAGCCCTTTCACCAACTGTTCCTCCCAAAGCACCACCACCTCTCTCCTGGGTTCGATAATTCACTGCAGTGGCCACACAGAACTCACAGATTATGGGGTTTATTAAGGAAGCACCAGGCTATAATTCAAGTTCAGGAAAAACGCTCAGTCTCTCTCCCAGCCCACTGTCTCTCAGCCAAGTCTCTCACAGTCTCTCCCCCAACAGTGCATGTCCCTCGGTGTCTTACTCAGTAACTTGTGTCTCTTGTGTCTCTTTCCCAGCAGCGCATGTCTCTTTCAGCAACACGTCTTCCTCAACCAGCAGTCAGAGAGAGTTCTGCCTCTAGGAGGCCTCCTTTTGAGCTTGGCAGAGTGGCCAAACCAACCAATCATAACAACAGAATTCTAAGCACCTGAGAGTGAGACTCCCATAACATTGCATTGTGCCATGCCCAACAGAAATAACCCACGTGGATAACATTTACAATCAGGAGCTCCTCACTTGCTCATTCCACCATTGAATTTACAATGACTTATGAGTAGAAAAGCCATACTGAGTAATTTACTTCACTGCACATGACATTGACTGCCCTCCCCTCAGTGGGAAAGCTCTCTGCCCATGGCCTCCCTGGGTCCCCATTTCCATTCGTCCTTCCTGCCCCTTGCTACCTTCAAGCTTTGTCTTCTGGAAGGTGCTGCCTTTTGGTCTTATACAGCGATTGTTCAGAGGAGTACGTTCCTCTCTGGCGTTACTGCTCACTTACAGGTTTGTCTGTTGTTTGGCTGAAAGTTGATCCCAAGGGTGGATTTAGTTCCAGGTTTGAAGGGTGCATAAGGCCATAGTCTTAAGGTTCCACCAGTCTCTATCTGTCCAGTAAGCCTGGTCTTTTTCATGATTTTGAGTTTTGTTCCACAATTTTTCTCCTACTCGATCTAGGATTTTCTGTTTGATTCCTATCAGAGCAATCATTTGTGGTTGCCAGGCACCATCTAGTTCTTCTGATCTCAGGGTAGTGGAGGCTGTGGTTCTCGTGGTCCATTAACCCTTCAGACTAATTGTTTCCTTGCATCTTTGATTTTCTTCACTCTTCTTTGCTCTGGATGAGGAGAGACCAATAGTTGTATCTTAGATGGCCACTCATAAGCTTCTAAGATCCCAGTTGCTACTCACCAAAATAGGATGTAGAACATTGTTGTCTTTGTGGATTACATTATGCCTGTTGACCTAGATGTCCCCTGAAACTATGGTCCCAAGTCCCCAAGCCCAGTGACTCCTTCCATTAAAGTGTAAGGTTATGGCCAAGAAGTTTCGATAACTTTGTTCCTTGTATGTCTGTAAAAAACAAACAAAACTCACAGCCATTGAGTCTATTCCAACTCATAGCAAACCCCTTTGGGTTTCTGAGGCAGTAAATCTTTACGGAAGTACATTGCCCAGTCTTCCTTCTATGGAGTGGCTGGTGGGTTTGAATCGCCAGCCTTCTGGTTAGCAGTCAGCTGCCTTAGGCACTTCACTGCCAGAGGTCCTGTGTGTCTATAGTACATAGATATATTTGTAGCACATACAGATACATACTGAGAAATATCTTAGTGCAGCCACTTTAGAAAACTTGGCAATTCCTCAAAAAACCTAAACATAGGACTATGATATGATCCAGCAATTCTACTCCTAGTTATATACCCAAGAGAAATGAAAATATGTGTTCACACAAAAACTCGTACACAAGTGTTCAAAGCAGCATAGTCACAATAGCCAAAAGGTAGAAACAAGCCAATGTTTGTCAACTGATGAATGGATAAAAAAATATGGTGGATCCACAGTGGAATATCATTCAACCAAAAAAGGAATGAAGGATTGATACATGCAACAACATGGATGAAATATTAAAACATTACGCTAAGTGAAAGAAGCCAATCACAAAAGGCCACCTGTTGTATGAGTCCATTTATGTGAACTATCCAGAAGAGAAGAATTCATAGAGACAGAGAGCAGTTCGGTGATTGCTGGGGGTGGAAGAGAATGGAAAGTAACTGCTTGATAGGGACCAAGTGTTACTTTTAGGTGATGAAAATGTTCCAGAACCGCATAGGGGTGATGATTACACAGCGCTGTGAATGTGCTAAACGCCACTGAACTGTATACTCTACAATGGTAAATTTTACGTTATGTGTATTTTAACAAAATGAAAACCCCAGTATGTTTAATGATAGTAATTATTGTGTATGAATTGGAATCAACTCACTGTAACAGATAATCACCTCATTTAATTTTATTTACACTTTTTCTGCTGCTTATTTTGTATTTGCTGAGTAAACACTTATTTCTCAGTATCTCACCCAGCACTAATAGCAAAGTTCAACAAGACAGAAAATAACACATGTTGGTGAAGATGTGCAGAGATTGGGATTCTCATACACTGTTGGTGGGACTATAGATTGATACAACTACTGTGGAAATTGGTATAAGAATTCCTTAAAAAGTTGGAAATATAAATACCATTTAATCCAGCAATCCCATTACTAGGTATATATTCTAAAGAAGTGAGAGCCAGGACACGAACAGACATATGCACACCCATGTTCATTGCAGCACTATTCACAATAGCAAAGAGATGGAGACAACCTAAGTGCCCATCAACGGAAGAATGGTTAACCAAACTATGGTACATACACAGCAGAATACTATGCAACACTAAAAAATAATGTAGAATCTGTGAAACACAGCATAACATGGATGAACTTGGAGGACATTATGTTGAGTGAAATAAGTCAATCACAGAAGGACAAATGTTGTATTTGTGCACTATTGTAAAAAGTCAAGGAAAGGTTTAAATATGGAAGGAAATTTTGTTGGTTACCAGGGGTGGGAGGGGAGTGGAGGGAAAATTGCTGGATAGGTGAAAGACAGGTATTGATTTGGGTAAAGGGAATGCAATGTACCAAAAACAAGTGACCAACATAATAACATTAAGGAAAAAGAAGACACAGAGAGGTGTGTCAGAGGTACAGGCAACAAAGATAAACCCTTTTACACACACTGTGTTACCAGTGATAACAAACATTAATCTACAAGTAGATACCTAGGTAGACAGGCTGAATGATCAGGTATGTCTAGGCAAAAGGGAATATACCCATGACCATATATAAGTTTGGCAGATGATGTTTCTACATACATATTTGTGTGTGCTGTAAGAAAGTCCACATACATAGAACTAACAGAGGGCAAAGTTATGATAACTTCTAAGCCACAGACAACTACCCTGAGGGAGCAAGTTGTTTGGCCTATAGACTCAGGACTGTGGTTGTGGGGGACATCAAGCCCAATTGGCATAACATACTATACAAAAACAGTGTTCAACATCCCACTTTGGTGAGTAGCAGCAACTGGGATCTTAAAAGCTTGCAAATGGCCATCTAGATGCAACAATTGATCTCTCCTGGTCCAGAGCAAAGAAGAATGAAAACCAAAGGCACATGGAAATAATTAGTCCAAGGGACTAGTGGACCATGTGAACCTCAGCCTACATGACCACATGACCATGAGACCAGAAGAAATAGATGATGCCCAGCTACCATTGTCAACCACTCATAAAGGGATCAGTGCAGGAGATCCTAGATAGAGTAGAAGAAAATGTAGAACAAAACTCAACATTGTAAAACAAAAAAAGACTAGGCTTACTGCTCTGATAGAGCCTGGTGAAACCCCCAAGCCTATGGCCCTAGGCACACTTCAGGCCTGGAATTGAACTCATTCCTGTGGCTTCCAGCCAAACAACAGACAGGCATATAAGGTGAATATTTACACCAGGTAGATACACTCCTTAGAACAGTCAGTCATGGGAGCAGAAGGGCAGTGTCTGCACAGGAAGATAGCTCAGAGGGCAGGAATGCATAGGAAAGAAGGACACAGGGAAAAAGTAACCATCGGGAAGTGGGAAGAGAGGTGTTGCATTGTGGGGATTGCAGTCAATGTCATGAAACAAAATACGTGTGAACTGCTGTATGGAAAATGAATCTGCTCTGTAAACTTTCACCCAAATC